AAATCAGTGCTCGCAAAAAATAAGCGAGCATCATCACACAAATGAAGTAACCGTTCGCCGTTAGTATTACGGGAGCCTACACCATGTTGGCCGCCCAGATGCAGTTCATCAATGGATGATTTTCCAACTTGAGTATTCAGATCCCCAGCCAGTGTCAGAGCTACTTCTTTGGCGAAGAAGCTCGTTCAATTGGCGATAGAAGTCGTCTTTTACTGAATAATCGCTAGAGTTTGTGGGTACATAGAAGGGATGACGGATAGACACCAGTTACTTCCGCGCGACTTCGAAGCTTTGAACGAGCCATCCAATCGGACCGCACATATCCGGCTACTGATTGGAATCCAACCAACCAGAGTAGCTTCAGCCCGGGGACTCAGGGCGATACCAACACCGACTTGGCCAGTGCTCGAAACTGCATCGTTACCGGATAGGCACAATGAAAGTGTTGCTGGTGTCACCTGAAGGGGATCACAAAGTGAGCACAGAGCTTGAGTCTTGCACGCGGGTCTCCGATAAGCAGCAGATATCGATCGAGAGGGTCTCTAAGATTCGGGAAAGTGCTGCCTATTGACCGATCTGTAGCAATGTGCGTACATTGAGGCATGCCAGTCTGAAGGATGATCGAGGGCTCCAAATGGAAGCCGATGAACTGGGCTTGGCCGCTTGCTTGGACATGGACTTGTCGACAGGGCAGTAATGACGATTGTGCGTTCACAGCTGAGTCGAATCTAAAAGCCTATCAAAGCAAGGTGCGTAAGGGCCAAGAATTGGGGGTTGAAAACAGGGGGTTTAAAAGTGAAGCTGGAACGGGACGGTAAGAGTGAAAAAGCGCAAGAGGGGGAAGAAGAAGGTGGGTAGGCTGGAGCAGCAGCATCCAAACCCCCATCTACCCTGCTCGATGCAGCAGATAGTGTATTGTTGATTATTCTCTGCGGTGGTCAGAGCATGCAATTGTTTGACGATTCATAGTATTGTCTACTGTACGTTGGGGTAGTCATGATGCTGGCTTTCGTTGACCATCAGTGCCAGCGGCGACTTGAATACGTCCAACCCGAGTGACCGTACCAGTGAGACAAATTTGGGCCGCATAACCACCGCTCAAAGGATTAACATGGTCTTTACAGATGCTGTGAATGCGTTATTCCTGGTAGCTATACCATCCGCGCTCAGCAAAAATTGATTCCCAAAGTGCCAATGCATTACTGAAGAAGTAGGGTTACACAAAAATTTTCTCGATTGGGCGAGGTGACCAAAATGTTCTTCACTGACACGACTAGGGGCACAGAAAACGGATGCTCAAGTTGAGCACAAGGGTCACTCGTATTGACTGGGCGCATGATGTTACTAAAAAAGGAACAAAGTGAGTAAGGGCCAGTAGTGTTGATGACGCACTGTTATTTAAGTTCAGATTCTAATAGGACAGGATTAATAGGAGAATCCGAGGAACGTTCCATTGTGAAATGGTTGTTGATGCGAGGTAGGTTTCGGCGAATCGGCACGCACACCTTGGTCAACTATTCAATGCCCATGTGTCTTGCACTAACCGGCACCACACAACAGAAAGGAGAGGGAGACGAAACTGAAAAATAGTAGTTAACGTAAACTAAGCATTAGAAAGTAAGATAACATGTGGTAAAACCTAATAAAACTAATATGTAAATGGAATGAGTTGAAGTTGCAAACCAAGGGCATCAACCCGGTGTCCAGACTCCTTAACAGTCGGTGCCAATACTACATCCCTATGGGATAACCGGATATCAGCACCCACCCGAGCGGATCGAAGTTTGTGTATCTTCCTTGAGTCTCTATACTGAATACTGTATTTTGGAGCAAGTAGAAAATAATTCTGTACAACTCCATCGGGTGATAATCGAAAAACATTTTTAAAAGAAATAAATAAACACGTCCGGTGTTTATCCTGAGATGGTTCAGCAACTCCTTCTGTAGCACACAAAATGCTTGTTTAAACAGTGAGTCACAAGTGGGTGATATCGTTGTCAAGTGGCAACCGTTCTCTGAAACGTATGTTAGCGAAGTGTACATCCAACAAAGATTTGAATTTCTGCACAGATTCGGCCTCGACGACGTGTTCTGGCAGACTGTTCCAGGCGTGCACAACCCTCCGCTCGAAACACTGGGGGTGTGGGATTTTCTTCAGATCAGGTACCACGAGTTTGTACCTGTGCCCACGTGTGGTGCATGGTACTCGCAAGTGGAGTAACGATCTTAGCATGGGGAAATGACCGAGATGTAAAATACGGTAGGTCATGATAAGATCCACTCGAACACGGCGATATGACAAGGTGTAGAGCCCAAGTTTCATGCACCGGTTTTCATACGATAAGCCTCTCAAGCTGGGGATCAACTTGGTGGCGATGTGTTGTACTCGTTCGATCTTTTTCGCTTCGCCGCGAGTGATCGGACAATATGCAGGCGAGCCGTACTCTACCATTGGTCTGACGATGGAAGAGAAGAGGCGAGTGGCGACGTCCTCAGACCAAGTGCAGAAGCTGCGTTTCAGCGCCCAGAGCATGCGCAGTCCGTTTCGATACAGTTTGTTGGTGTTGTCGACGGACTTCAAGTCGCAGAGTGAGAGTACACCTAGGTCTTTCACGGAAGGTGTGGGATGCAGTGGTTGACCGTCTAGGGTGTACGTTCGTCCGTGAACAGCCTTCCCGAGACTCATGAATAGGGACTTGACCGGGTTGACCGGTAGGTGGACTTCAGCAGACCATACTGCGAGGCGGTCGAGGTCTTGTTGGAGAATGTCACAGTCATCGAGAGTACTAATTTCTCGCCAAACTTTGAGGTCATCCGCAAACAGTGCACACGGCGACCGTAGAAGCTGGGGCAGCTCGTTGATGTGGATGAGAAACAGAGTGGGTCCCAGTACCGTACCTTGAGGTACACCACTGGTCGAGGGATACCAATCGGTTAGATGGCCGTCCACCTGTACCCTCCACTTTCTTCCAACGAGAAATTCATGGATCCATCGATGTAACGATCCTCCGACACCACACGACCTTAATCTGTCTAGAAGCAATTCATGATTGACTTTGTCGAATGCTTTGCCGAAGTCGATGTAGATTACGTCGACGGACTTTCCCCGGTTCAGTGCTTGCAACCATTCCTGTCTCGTCAAAAGTAACTTTGTAACACAAGAATATCCCATCCTGAATCCGTGTTGTGCCGGTGTCAAAAGTTCTTTCGATTGTAACAGATGTATTAGACGCTTTTTTACTATCTTCTCGATCACTTTGGCCAAAACGGGTGTAAGACAAATTGGCCTGTAGTTATCCACCTTACTGGGGTCGCCACCTTTCGGGATCGGCCTCACCACCGAGCGCTTCCAGTTGTTTGGCAATGAGCCCTCAGACAATGATTTGTTGAATAGATCCGTAACCACAGGCGAGATAATGGCAGCTAGTGATTTGATAATAAGCGGATGAAGCCCGTCAGGCCCTGCAGGCTTGGTACCGTCAAGGTTCGCAAGTAGCAGGCGCACCTCGTCGGCATCACAAACCAAACTGTTGAGTTCTACAGGAATGTTACTCGCTGAGATGGGTACGGACGCCGCGTCGTTTGCAAACACGGAAGCGAAGTGAGCGGCCAGTGCGGACGCGCGATCGGAACTGGAAGTTAGCAGGTGTCCGTCCGCGTCTTCCAGACATGACACGTCACCTTTTGGCTTCAAACGGCGTTTCACGTAAGCAGAGATCTTCTTTGAGGCCATCCTCGCGTCAGTTGCAAGCTTTTCTGCGAACTTCCGGCGCTTTATCAATTTCACTTTGTTGCAAATATTTCGCTGTCTTTTATATGCTTCGTAATCAGTGGCGGAGCCAGAGAGGCGAAATGCGTCCCACATTCTTCGCCGTAACCGAGCCAGCCTACCATATTCCTTGTCGAACCAGTGTGGTTTGATTGGCCCGACTTTCTGAAATTTCAACGGTATTCAGTATCCAACCGAGCGGATCGAAGTTTGTGTATCTTCCTTGAGTCTCTATGTAGGGTCGGAAATCAGGCCGGGTGAAAAATGTGAGATACGTTCGGACCAATCTGACCCGAGAAGATGCGACAGGTAAGTGTTAGATCGCCTCGGTGACGCCGACAGTGCGGCGAAAAATGATCCAGCTTAGGCAATCTCTCGGGATATGATACACGTCTCAGCCAACGTGTCATCTCAGTGATAAGCATCAGAAGTCGCTCCACTACCATCCCGTCCTGCGCTAAGCAAGAGATCAGGCTTATTCGCGGTATTCTAAGTGGGGTCTGGTGAAAGCCGTGTGAAGTTTAGCAAACATTTCCTCTGTTAAGTTTCCAAACGAGCTGCAGATTATCCACAGTATTCTGAAACTTTTGTGGGGACTATTCAGTTTCAATTTTCGCTGGACTTAAGGATTGACGACAGCGTGACATCTAAGTTGGTCTGTTTGGATACGCATCGTACCTTTCTACCCCCTGTAAAGTACCGCGTTAGTGGCGCATTATATCCAAGGCGCAAAAATGAGCACTCGGTAAGATTTACAAGTAGTTGCTACAAAGTAGAGTATGCTCTGAGCCTACAAGAGCACGCTACAGAACCTGTGAGTCATCTGGGCCACCGACTGCCCCAAAACAAGATCATTTGCAAACATGGGAAACGAAACCACCAGCTCCTCAGGGGTGATCAGCTTGCAAGGTGAACAACAGTGGACCGAGGATGAACCACTGCGGAGCACCATAGAATCGACCGTCGAGCCCACCTAAACACACGTCACCATACATTTTAGAAGTGCCGTTACCTATTGAAGTGTCTGTCCGTAGATACCATATATATGACCACAGCACACACAACAGGCAAATGTGGGACGGTATCGAACGCCTCGGACATAGTACACCCTATTTTCATACTTCTGCCAGTGACGGAAATCAGGCCTAAATGAACGGCAGGTAGTCCACTAAGCAAACAAGGATGGTTACTGCTTAGGTGAAGAAACACGGAAAGTAGGCGATGTCCTTACCCAGGTAAAAATTAAGAAATCCTTTAAAGCGCATCGACGAGGAAAATTTTGTGGTGACTTATAGACCAAGCGGATAGTACTCCGCAAGGTAACATGGAAAACATAGCAGCGGATGGCACGAAGTGCACGTCAGACAAGGACGACCAAAGCGACCAACAAATGGGTCGATCAAGGCACGCGTACTATTGGCTAAGCGAAAGTGACCTTGGTGAGTAACCACACGACAAATGCATTTTAAGAAACCTCGTTATTGACAAGCAGTTACTGAGAACAAAAGCAACTAATTCTTTGAGCACATCAACAAACCTGCTTTACGTAGGAAACAATGTTTGAATAAGCACTTGAAACGAAATTTGACTATTGTCACTTTTCTCTGATCCAAGATGTCTTGGATCGAGTATAGTGGTACGGGTCAAAGCGTCGTTTGCTCTTAGTGGTAACTTTTCTGGTTGTTCCCAGTTATAACCGCTTTTTGCACCCTGTTTTTGCCTTTCTATTGCGGCTCTTTTACTACTGTATTTGTGTTGTAAATCTACGCTGTTTTCCACATGATCATGGTTGTCTCGCTAAACGCCAAGGCGCATGGATCTATGGGGTCCTCGTTTGATGAGTCCACTGCAGCTTGCAGACAGGTTAACTGTTCAAAGCCAGTAACAGGTTTCGCTGGCGGTATTGTTTGGCGGAGCCTGGGATACTAGTCGGTAAGCAATGACACGTAAGACGTGCCAAATACGACAGTATAGAAGTCGGAGGCGACTGAACCCAACGTATATTGTACAGGCTACAAGAATAAGAAGCGAATCAGGTGGAGCGGGAAACATGCAGCGAGGTACTCACCAAAACGGTTTTTGACAACGGACGTGCAGTCAGTAAAACGACTGGACGTTTCGAAGGTTAAAACAACTATAAAATCCAATGTTACAAGATACTGAAAGAGCATGTTTTCTGTTGCACCACAGGGGCCTCCCCCTGGAAAGCTGAAGGATGGAAGCCTTCGATAGAGCTCTTAGTGTGGGAAAATGGAAGGTGAGGGGATGTGAATATTTGCAGAGGCTTGAGTAAGAGTTTCCAAAGTGGGTTGTGTAGGAGATTTCGCTGGGTATATCCTTTTGTTAGTTATTTATGACGATCGTGTGGACCAGAGTGCATCATCGGTAGGCTGTCGGGGCGGGCTGGTCGGACTGCAAAAAAAACTGGCTAGTCCAGAAAAAATGCCGTCAGGACCTTCCCTTTGCTGCAGACCCGACGGTGCGCTAGGGAGGTGTCACTCCCCCCACCGCACTTTCGTCCACATTCCTCGTCCCACGAAGAAATCCGGCACCTTCGTCGGCAATGCCTAGGCGGCGTTTGGGAACCAATCCGTTCGTGGGTGTCTGCGTTCGAGGGCGACTCTCTGTTCCTTGGATGAAGAAGGGGGCTTTGGGACAGCTGGCGAGTCACTCCAGGGTTGCGTTGAGCCGGTTGGCGAGTCACTCGAGGGTTGCCTGGGCAGTTCCGGCGGTTGAGTTTCTGGAAGTGCAACTCAGAGGGGGTTGGCAAGGGTCGGGGAAGTGGCTTGAAGCCGGAGAGGGAACATGGCATTTATGATAAAAGCAAATACGCTTTTGAGGTTTTCAAAATGTTTTGGGTTTTTTGTCGATTTTGCAAAACGTTTGTGGATGAGACGCAGGATAACCATTAAAGACGAAAATTGCGTTTTATTGGAAATAGCAAACGCTTACAAAATCTGAAAAACGGACCGGATGTTTGACGTGTCTACCCCGTCGGTCGGTTGCATGGGGTTGCGTCGGGATAGGTTGCGGGTCAAGGGGTACGGAGGGTTCCGGGTTAGCCAGTGCTCGGGAAGTCACCACAGGTGCGGGTGCTTGTGGGAGAGCATCAGGATGGGCTGCATGTGGCTCGTCAAAAAAAACCACTTTGAGGCGGTCGATTGACACCGTTGTTCGGTGACCATTCTGGTCTATAGTAAAATGTTTCGGAGTCCGTTGTAGAACTCTGAAAGGGCCAGTGTGGGGAGACTGGAGAGGGCGCCGCACTGCGTCGGTGCGGAGGAAGACGTGAGTGCAGGTAGAGAGTCCGCTGTGCATTTGCAATTCTAGTCTGTTCACGGGGCGGGGTCGGGCGTAGTGATCGCATGCGTTGAGCTAGGGAGGACGCTAAGTTAGGCGGAGGCATACCCGACGATGCGGGAGGTGAAAAGAATTCTCCTGGTAACTTGAGCGTCGTGCCGGAAACCAGCTCTGCTGGTGCACACTGTAAGTCCACTTTGATGATGCTGCGAATACTTAAGAGTGCGAGCGAAACGTTTTCGCTCCAGCTAGGGTCGGAGGAGGCGCAAAGCGAGGATTTAAGCTGTCTATGGAAGCGTTCAACTAACCCACTGGCTGCTGGGTTATACGCTGTGGTAAGAAATCGACGGCAGCCTAAAAAGTTACAGAACATACCGAATTGTGAAGATTTGCAAGGCGTTCCTCGGTGGGTTGTGATGGTGGATGGGCATCCGTAGTGCGAGACCCATCGGTCCAAGAAGGACCGGATAACGGTCTCAGCTGTGCAGTCTGTTACGGGGATAGCTTCTGGCCATCTGGTGAAGCGGTCGACACATGTAAGAATGTATGCAAATCCGCGTGACGGAGGCAATTGGCCTACAAGGTCTACGTGTACATGCGAGAACCGAGAGTCCGGGGCAGGGAATGAACCAAGAGGACTGCGGGTGTGATGATGTACTTTGGAGCGCTGGCATTGAAGGCAGGCGCGAGCCCAGGTACGAACATCTTTGTTTACGTGTGGCCACACGAAAACTTCGGTGACTAGTTTCAAAGATGCACGGATACCGAGATGTGACAGTGAGTGCAGTGCGTCAAATACTGTGCGTCTGAAGGAGACGGGCACGAGAGGACTAGGACAACCTGTGGAAGTGTCACAAGGAATGGTTCCTTCCGTGGTTTGGAGAGGAACAGGTTGCACATGCAGCGAAGTGGACTGCAGAGTGCGCTGTATGTCTTCGTCTTGAGCCTGAGCCGATGCCATTGCGACAAGGTCGACGGTAGGCAAAGACTGGAGAGTGAGGTTGACGCGTGAGAGCGCGTCGGCGACGGGATTGTCGACACCTGAGACATGACGTATGTCAGCAGTGAACTGCGTGACAAAGTCTAGGTGTCTTGTTTCCCGTGGTGAGTATTTGTCGCTAGCAGAGTTGAAGGCAAATATAAGGGGCTTGTGGTCAGTGTAGACCGTGAAAGCGCGGCCTTCGTGTGTGTGCCGGAAGTGACGTATCGCTAGGTAAATGGCCAGCAGTTCTCTGCCAAACGTGCTGTAGCGGGATTCCGCGGGCTGCAGGCGCTTGGAAAAGAACCCAGGGGGTTGCCATTGCCCACCAACGTGTTGTTGGAGGACGGCTCCTACCGCGACGTCTGAGGCATCAGTCGTAATAGAAAGAGGTGCAGTCGATTCCGAATGAACGAGGAGGGCTATGTTGGAGATAGCATCCTTGAGCTCGGCGAAGGCTGCCTGTGCGGTGTCAGGGAAAGCGAACTTACGTTCATTTCCTCTGAGTAAGTCAGTCAGTGGCTGCATGAGCTGAGCGCAGCGCGGAATGAAGCGTCGATAGTAGTTGACCAAACCACGAAATTGACGGAGGTGCTTGAACGAAGTCGGAGCTGGGAAGTCCTTGATTGCCTGGAGCTTATCAGGAAGGACTTCGCTAACAGACGATGAAACGAGGTGGCCTAGGAATTCTACCGTTGATTTGACGAGTTCGCACTTAGTCGGGTTGACTGTGACACCGTGTTGGGTCAAGCGCTGGAAGTGAGCTCGAAGTTGCTCGAGGTGCTCTTGTTCCGATGAACTGGCTACTAAGACATCATCGAGGTAGGAATACGCGAAGTCTAGGCCACGAGTGACATTGTGGATGAAGCGTTGGAAGTTTTGTGCGGCGTTGCACAGTTCAAATGGCATCCTTAAAATTTCAAACAAACCGAAAGGAGTAATGACGGCTGTTTTAGGAATGTCATTGTCTTCCACAGGTATCTGGTGATAGGCAAGAACCAGATTGATCTTGCTGAAGCTCGTCTTACCTGTGAGGCATGCGGTAAGGTCCTGCATGTGTGGGATGGGATACTTATCTGGGACAGTTAGGCGATTGAGTGCGCGGTAATCACCGCAGGGACGCCAGTCCCAGATTTCTTGGGGACCAGCTGCAGAGGCGAGGACCAAGGGCTGTCGGAAGGGCGGATTATTCCAAGTTCAAGCATGTACTCAAACTCCGCCCTAGCTACCTTTAGTTTCTCAGGCGATAGTCGACGTGGACGGCATGACACAGGTGGGCCATTCGTCCGTATGTGGTGCTTGACTGGAGCTGCCACGGGCAAAGCCGCGTTCATTGGCTGAACGAGCTTGGGATACTGAGAAAGGAGATTAGCGTAGGCTGACGAGGTCTGGGGAAATGCACAGACCGGGGATATAGATGTCACGTCGGCGGTGATGCCACGTACGCTGAGGTTTGTTGCAGTGTCGACTATCATCTGGCGTTTCGCATCGACAAAGAGGTCGAAATGCCTGAGAAAGTCAATGTCGATGATGGCAAAGGGCACTGCAGCGACGGTGAATACCCAGCGGAAAGTGCGCCGAAGACCTAGGTCCAGGGTAAGTGACCGATGACCATAGGTGGCTATTGGTGTGCCATTGGCGGCACTGAGACTTGTCGACAGAGAAGCGGTAGGCTCACCTGACATACGGGGAATGACGCTGACTTCCGCCCCGGTATCAACTAAGAATTGGGTATCGGAGTCATAATCCCTAATGTAGATGAGGCGACTTTGGGCTTTGCCGACGTTCGTGGTCATTACAGCCCGGCTTGGCGGATCACCTATAACGGAGTAGCTACACGGCTGTACGCGCTTACGGGCTTTAGTACCGAAACGAGAGGGGTAAAAGCAGTAACCTGTGGCATCAGGATTTGTGCGACGGTGCGATGATCCAGAGCGGTTGCAGTGCTTACGTTTTAAGGTGAGTTCTTTGATCTGACGCTGAAGCGACGCTATCTGCAATGATAATGCGTCTATTGCCGACGGAAGGCTAGTCACGCCTGTCGTTGTGGTTGCGCCAACGCAAAGCTGCTTAAGTGCTTTGGTTTCAGTCGCTGGCTGGTGCCGTTCG